AACAACAACAACAACAACAACATGCATTAAGGCTCAGGTCATGCATATTCATTGAAGTTCCAATAACTAGGCAACCTGGGACCTTTCGCTTTTATTTGGGGCTTCTGGATATATGAAAACATCTTTGCTCATCCCTGGGACAATGGAGGGCCTGTGCCAGGAACCCTCCTAAACCTTGCCTGATGTGTCTCGTTTCTTGCGTCCTTTCTGGTTATAATAAATGGGTAAGTATTTGACTGCTAACCAGAAGGGTGGCGGTTCAAACCTACCAGCCACTCCTTGGAAGGAAGGTTGGGCAATCTACTTCTGTAGTGTTACGACCTCGGAAACCCAAGGAGGGGTCACTATGAGTCAGGTTTGACTTGACGACAGTGGCTATAGGTAAGTTTCCATGAGGTTTGTGAGTCATTCTAGTGAATGACTTATCGAATCCAATAGCAGCAGTGAGAACTAGCAGAGAGGCTGGTGTTTTCCTATTTGGCAGAGCCTGGAAGGACGAAGTCCTAACTTGTGAAGACCCAACTCTGGTGGTTAGGGTTAGAAAGAGAAAGTGGGTAGCTGGTGTCAGAATAATGAAGTGGGAAAGTGGGGATATGTGTTATCTTCACATTTTGGAAATTGGCCTTATATCAGCTGTTATTCATACAGGCTATCAAATAATTACCTCAAAAGCCTTTTCTAAAAGGAAACCTTTCAGAAGGACAATTTATTCCTGGATAAGTCAGATAATATACAGGCAATTTCACCGCAGTAATCAACTGTCACTTAGGAGCTCTGGTAGCATAGTGCCTAAGGCACTTGACTGCTAACCAGAAGGCTGGCGGTTCAAACCCACCAGCCACTCCAAGGAAGGAAGGTTGAGCAATCTACTTCCATAGTGATACTGCCTCAGAAACCCAAGGAGGGGTCGCTCTGAGTTGGGTCCAACTCGACGGCACATAGCAACAACAACAGACTGTCACTTAGCTTACAGATAGATGAGTGGATTTCAGAAGATCTGGGTTGAACTCTGACCAGGTAGATGATCTTCAGCAAGTTACCTGATCTGAGTTTGCTTCTCTACATAAGAAAAGACTATACCAGTTTGATGCCTAAAATTATTTCCACATTTTACTTTTCTGATTCTATTATGACCAAAATATTCAACAGGGCAGCAACATCTTCTGGTACCAGTCATCTTTAGAATATGCCTTCCTCTATTCATATCTTGATTTTATTGTATATAGTAAGATGGCCCTATAAAACTTGTGAGCTCTGGTTTTCAGAACAATATGATGTTTACATTGAGGCAGAGATTTATTTGGCTGATTATAAAGAGATTTGTTTTAACTGTTGTTTGTGTCTTTCTCTTCAGTACTTGGACCATGAGACGGTTTCAGCCACATTCATCGACAGCAGTGGACAGTTTCTTTCCCCCCAGGTGACAGGAATTAGCCGAAATCCCTACTGTGGCTATGAGCATCAGATCCTCTCTGCCCGGGAGCGCATGGAGGAGGACTCCTTGCTGGCGGCCTTGCAGTGGCAGGTGCCTGACATGGGCCCAGTCCCCTTTGTTAAGAGCACTGACCCTTCTTCCAGCTACTTTGTCATCTTGAACTCTGCAGCCTTCTTCAAGGTGGGAAGTCAACTGGAGGTGATGGTTCATGTACAGGATTTTCAAAGACAGCCCAAGAAGTACGGTGGTGACTACCTGCAGGCCAGAATCCACTCTCCTAAGCTTCAGGCAGGGGCTGTGGGCAGAGTGGTGGACTACCAGAATGGGTTTTACAAGGTCTTTTTTACTTTGCTTTGGCCAGGCAAAGTTAAAGTATCCATATCTCTGGTTCACCCCAGTGAAGGGATCAGAGTTCTTCAGCAACTACAGGAGGAGAAACCAGACAGGGTTTATTTCAAGAGTCTCTTCCGTTCAGGAAGAATTTCTGAAACTACGGAGTGCAACGTGTGCCTTCCTGGGGGTCTGCCGCTGTGTAACTTTACAGATCTCTACACTGGAGAGCCCTGGTTCTGCTTCAAACCAAAGAAGCTCCCTTGCAGCAGCAGAATTAACCATTACAAAGGTGGATACCTGAAGGGCCTCATAACTGCTGCAGAGAGTGCTTTCTTCCAGAGGTATGGGCTCCTTGTTCTAAGGGGTGATGTAAAGAATCCTTTTCCTCTCTCAGGGAGCTCTGGTGGTGCAGGGGTTAAGGCAGTGGGCTGCTAACCAAAAGTTCAAACCCACCAGCCACTGAGCGGGAGTAAGGTGAGGCAGTCTGTTTCTGTAAATATTTATAGCCTTTGAAACCCTATGTGGCAGTTCTGCTCTGTCTTACAGGGTTTCTGTGATTCAGAATTGACTCAATGGCTGTGAGTTTGCTTTTGGTTTTTTGTTTCCTCTCTCCTTGTCTCACGTAGGAGAAGCTTTCTTGTTTTGGTTTTGTTTCTCTTATAGTTTTCTCAACTTGGTCTAATTCGGGAAAGGTGGTGTATAGCTAAATACAGATTTCTGTTTTGTGATTAGTTTTATAGTTTATTATAAATGAAGATTAGTGCATGTCCAACTTCAAATTAAAGACCTTTTACCCTTCAGTTTTTGCTTTTTGCCTCATATCTATGTTTTACTTCAGAACTTAAAAAAAAAAAAAAAGAACTGTATGGCATATCTATGAAGATTACTTATTCACAGAACAGATAAAAAAAAGTCAAGAAGAGGACTGTGAAGGGTCTAATAGGCAGGTGTTTTAATTTTTTAGGAGTTTTATTTACTTCAGAGCAGTATGGAGTGTTCAGCACAAATTTTAATTTGTGTTAACCAATAGAATGTTAAAATGATATATTATCTGTTTTAAAATTATATAAAGGAATACCAGTACAAACTACATGTTTTTAAAGTTTAATAGTGGTTTAAATAATGGTTGTATTGTGTACAAATTCCTCTTCAGAACCCAGGCATAAAACATTTCAGCATAATGAGCAGTATATTGATTAATGTATAGCATGGGATGAATGGAATCTATATGAAATAAACTTTGTGTTCAAGATTCCATACAATTCTAAAGTAAATGAAAATTCCTAAAAAATTAGGAGCTCTGGTAGCGTAGTGCCTAAGGCATTTGACTGCTAACCAGAAGGCTGGCGGTTCAAACCCACCAGCTACTCTGTGGAAGGAAGGTTGGGTGATCTACTTCCGTAGTGATACTGCCTTGGAAACCCAAGGAGGGGTCTCTGTGAGTCGGGTCTGACTTGATGGCACATAACAACAACCACCACGTAAAAAATTAAAAATTATTAGAGCTACATGTTCAAATATACAAATTATTATTTGAAAGCATATATAAATGTTTTTTTAAAATTTCAATGAAACATTCTTTTTGAACATTTACTGGTAGAGAGGTATTTTTGTTGAGTACATATGGGTAGCCTAAAAAATTCCATGTTTATGTCTGTTCAGTACTTGATTGGGGAAAAGTTGGCACCATAAGTCATGTGGTCTATGGGAGTTCCTAAAATGAAACCCTCTAATTTTCTGCTTCTGGAATTAGCTTTTGGTCCTATCAGTGTAAGTGTGCATGTGGTGGTCTCATGCCATGCTCTTATAAGGCCAGCAGAGGGAGCACTATTCAATGTATTTACTGTACTGTTCTTGCCTAGTATTGTCTGCCTCTGCACAAAAGGTCTTTAGTTTTAGTTTAATTCTGGGTTCAGATTTCAGACTTGCTGTTTATCAGTGATTGTGAGCACATTTTATTCATGTGCATGTTTTCCCAATATGTGAGGACTACTCAATTACCCTGTTCTAGAAGGAGCTCTGGTGGCGCAGTGCCTAAGGCATTTGACTACTAACGAGAAGGTTGGTGGTTCAAACCCACCAGCCACTCTGCAGAAGAAAGACTGGGCAATCTACTTCTGTAAAGATTTACCACCTCAGAATCTAAAAGGGGATCACTATGAGGTGGAATCGACTCGATGGCAGTGAGTTTATGGTTGAGTTGAGAGTTACGTTGTTAGTCTACCTAGTGGCCCAGCAGAGGGGCAGAAACAGAGCATTCCATGTGGATAAAAGAGGCTGAAAGGCTAGAGAATTAGATTAGTAAAAATAATTATGCCTGGCACTAAATCTTACCATTAAAAAACAGTACAACACTTGTGAATCCAGGACAAAATAATGTTTTTATTCCTGCCTTTACCTGGATGTCCTGGGGTAAAGCTGGCTAGTGGCATACTGCAGTAGAATCATTACAAAATTCTCCTCACCTGAGAATTTGCTGAGCAAACCATGTTTGGAGCAGTGTTAAGTTCTCAGAAACCAAAAATTTGACAGTCTTGATACTGATTTGATATTTTTGTATTTTTGATTTTATTAAGGTGCTAAAATATTGCACTAGGCCATATGAAAAGAAAAGTGGAAACATTATTCTCTAACATGGCCCTCTGTACTTCTTGGTTTTTGATCTGAATGCCGTTTCCACATAGGGGAAGGTGCTGTGTGTTTTGTTTACTATTATATCACTGGTGTCTAGGACAGAGCCTGGCATATAGTAGGCACTGAAGAATTATTTGTTTGTTGAATAAGCAGCTAATCTCTTCTGAAATTGATGAAACAATAAAAAGTCATGATTTAAGTTCCTGTATCAATAAGTTAGAAAGTTAACATTTTATTTTCTTGCTTGTATTTGGTGGAAGTCTCAGAGGCTAGTTATTGCCATTCAGTTCCAGCTGTAATAGTTTCTCCCCTCGTTTTCCCTCCAGCCCTCCATCAAATACTGAATGCCCACACTAGTTCAGGTCTTGTGCTAAGTGCTGAAGAGACAAAGGTGAATGGAGTACAATCCGTGTCTTTGAGGAATATTTTGGTAACTTTGTGTCGTTCTAACAGAAATAGCGCAAATGGGATGGCTTTAACAGGAGTGTATTCTCTTACAGTTTTCAAGTCTAGAAGTATGAGTTCGAAGTGCCAAGCCCTAGAGGCTGGGTGAAAGCCCCTCAACCTTGGGCTTCAGCTCTGCCTCTTGTTCCTGGTCCACTGAAGCTGGAGGCATCTCTTCACTCAGGCAGCTACTGGCTGCTGAGGGTGACAGACCCAAAGTCGACAAATAAAATGGCATAGTCCTGATAGTACCAAAATACATGGCAGGCCATTGATTCAAGTCCATTGAAAGTCCCAAGATCAACAGGGCAACATGGCAGGTTACTGAACGACTTGGCTACATGCAGAGTTCAAGCCATCAACTGGAGACCTTCTTCAAAGTTGCTTCTTATATACAGGATACAGAACACATCCCTAAGGCGGCTGCTGAGCTGCTCCAGTGGATTTCACCATGGAGTTCATTAGCAATCTCATCATGGGGAATAACTACCTCCAGCTGCCTAGCCACTCGACCAGGCCCAGCCAAGTTGACACACAAACTTAACCACAAGGAATATATATTTTAGTAAAGGTAACATACACTGAAGAGCTGTAGTAACATGAACAAAGTACTGCATGAGCACATCAGGGCCAACTGTCCCCAGTATAACTCATCTGAGATCCAGGCAAGGCCTAAGAAATCTGACAATTTGACTTAATACTACATAGACTTGTAATTTGAAAACTAGGTATTGATAAAATAGACATTCTGGTCAATGTGAACCGTTCTCTAGTTCAAGAGTAGTAAGTTGTTCAATGAGGAGCCTGGTGGCACAGTGGTTAAGTGCTCAGCTGTTGACGGAAAGGTTTGTGACTGGAACCTACCAGCTGCTCTCTGGGAGAAAGATGTGACAGTCTGCTTCCCTAATGATTACAGCCTTGGAAATAATATGGGGCAGTTCTGCTCTGTACTGTAGGATTACCATGAGTTGGAATTGACTTGACAGCAATGGTTTTGGTTAAGTAGTTCAAGTATTTATTAGTTATTTTAGAGTTTGTCATCTTAGGACAGAGTAAGCAGTGTCAGTGTGGAAAAAGTATTAAATACCTATTTACTTCCTGTTCAGTTTATATATACTTATAACCTACTTATTAACAGCAGCTTAGGTTTTTAACTAATTATTGTATTGATTAACATTTATAAGCACAGTAAAATCTGAGAGAGCCAGAACCTGTGTAAGATGGAAACCTGTCAGAAAAGGGAAACACAAATACTTTCCACTAAAATGAGCAATAGCAAAGTGGTAAGACTGCACTCTGTCAAAGGCAGAAAACTTGTGAGATCTGGAAAAACAAGTCAGTCCTGTCAAGTTCTGGCTTTCGGAGGTTTCACTGTATATTTAATCTAATACAGCTCGGTGAAATTATATCCCTTTTATTTTTCCATTTGCAAATAAAGATACATAACTGAAAATACTTGTTCGTAAATTTAAGCTTTTGTTATTTTTATTCCTTTTAAAGTGGTGTCAATATCAAAGTGCCAATCAACTCCAGTGGACCTGATTGGGTGACTGTGGTTCCCAGGAGAATAACAGGTAAAGAAATGAGCTTGATGGTTTATTGTTCTTTTTTTTTTTTTTTTCTCTAAGTAGCATGAAGTACTATAGTTTCACTAATGTTAAAAACATTTTTTTTTTTCCTTTAATATGCCATGATTATTTCTGGGCATAATTAAAAAGAAAACACTACAAGAACAATTTGATTAACAAAAACCCAGAATTAGACCTTGTTATGAGTTGAAATGTATCCCCCACTATGCATATAATTCTGGGTTTTGTTATTTATGCTCATATAAAACTTGTCTGTTTTTTCTCTCTGTTGGCCCTGTAAGTACCTCTAGAACTGTGGTGTCCACTATGGTGGCTATTTAATTCAAACAAATTAAAATGCAATGAAATTAAAAATTCAGTTCTCCAGTCATACTAGCAATATTTCATGTGCTCAGTAGCCACATATGGCCAGTGGGTACCACAGTGGATGATATTTGATATAAAAAGCAAACAAACCCACTTCCATTGAGTTGATTCTGACTTATAGTGACACTTTAGGATAGAGAAGAATGAGAAGAACTGTCCCATAGAGTTTCCAGGGCTGGAAATCTTTACGGAAGCAGACTGCCTCATCTTTATCCCGTGGAGTGGCTGGTGGATGCAAACCACCAGCCTGTTGGTTAGTAGCCAAATACTTTGACCACTGAACCAGCAGAGCTCATATTTGATATGGGATGTGTCTGACATTTTAGAAAGTTTAGTTGAATATTGCTGTTCTAGAGATATTCAAGAAATTGGTGTGAAACTGAAGCCAGACAAAAGAGAGTCCCTGCCTGGTGCACCATTAAGCCGAATCAGTTCACAGACACCGAATACTTGAGAGATGAGAAAGATTCATTACCATGTGCTTGGTAAGGAGACAGGGGCCAGTACCCAAATCGACCCCCTGAGTGGGGGTTGGGTTGGGGTACAGTTTTTGTGAGGTTTAAGAAAGGGTTCTGTTGTTGTTGTTATGTGTCGTCGAGTCAGATCCAACTCACAGCTACCCCTCCTTGGGTTTCTGAGGCAGTATCACTATGGAAGGAGATTGTCCAACCTTCCTTCTGAGGAGTGGCTGGTGGGTTTGAACTGCCAGCCTTCTGGTTAGTAGTCAAGTGCTTTAGGCACTATGCTACCAGAGCTCCTAAGAAAGGGGTCTAGACATATTTATATAAATTTCAGGAACTTGGGCGTGAATTAGCAGGAGATTGAGGTTTTGTTTGTCTTGATTTAAAGGGATAGTCAGTTTTTAATGCAGTGCGCTTGCACATCAAATGAGTTACACCAACTTCCTGTTATTAGCTGATGGGGGGTTTAGGCCAAGGGGAAGATGTTAGTTCCAAGCAACTTTGTTCTAGTTTGTCTCACTGTACATGTCTGTGGGCCAAAACAGATCTGAGCTGGTTTTAACAGATTTTAAGTTCGTCTCAGCTGGGTTTCTGAAAAACAACTTTAAGGAAATGAGTTATTGTGCTCACTCATCGATCTCCAGCCAGGATGGAGGATGGTTACGGAAAGAATAGGGAATTAAACTTCATTTCAACTCAGCTTCAATCCCCAGTTTGAGTGGTTACTGTTTCACATTCTTGGAAAATGAGACATCGGATCATTCTAGCTATTTTCTGTTATTCAGGGGCAAAGCTGGTAGAACTCAGAAATTCATGGCTAGAAAATCTCTTATGGCTTAGGTGGTTCTCAGAATCTTCTGGCCATAGTCCAGGAAGAAGAGATTAGGGGTGCCTGTAGAATAGCCTGTACTTTTGGATCTTGAAAGCAGATAAGCAGGTAAGCACTGAATACAACAAGTACAAAGTACCAATTGCGTAGTCTTCTTGTCCTGTTGTAATTTACAAATGGTACAGTGGATAGCCTGTTGATCCTGTTCTGTTTTTCCTGATGCATGGACTAATAAACAGCACATAGCACTGATGTACACACATACTCCTCTGTGTGCTACCAACATACTTATTGTAGTTTGTAGCACAGAAGTTATCAGAAGTAGAGTTTGCTGTTGACTCTAGACAAGCAGATATTCTGAACAAATTGGTGTAAAATATGGTTATCATAATTTTTCAACATGCATAACAGGAATTAAAATTTGTTGGTCCTTTTCCCAAGCACTCCAGGTCAAATCTGGTGGACTATGCTGGCATCAGTAGCTAGTGTGGGTAGTGGGTGACACACCCAACAGTCCCTCAAATGTCCTGCTGTTGCAACAGCTTGGCTAAGTTTGATTATAGCATTTTCTTTCTAGTTTGCACTGGATGGAGGCAGGCCCAATATTAAAGAAAAGGTGATTGGGATAACTAATAATATCATAATGGAGGCCTTATGCTAAAGCAGAAACACTAATGAGTAGGGGCTTTAGTCTATAAGGCAAAACAAGATATTAGACTACAAGCTAAAATGATCAAGTCCTGTTAGCAATATACCAGGGTTCACCAAAGCATGAAGAAACTGCACACAGGGAGGCTAGGTAAAGGATTACAGACAACTAAGATGATTTAGATTTAGCACCCAAAATGAGGGGGTAGGGAGGTGCAGACAAAAGAGGCTTGCAAAGTAAAAATCAAGCACTAAGATAGACAAGCCCACTAAAGTGGCTGATGAGGTATCTCCACTCATACTACTTATCTTTCTGCAGTTAGGTTTGTAGAGCCATCCAATGTAGGGCCGGCCAGGTTCTTTGGAGTCTTTATGACCTGCAAGGCTGTTCTCCGTAGGTCAGGGCTAAGTGACAGGTCGAGGAGGGTGTTCTGTGTGGACAGGGGCTACTCTCAGTCAAGTATAATGACTCCAGGGTTGAATTCCCTTGAGTTTAGCTGAGGAGTACACTGTCAGCAAGACTTCATAGGGCCCAGTCCACTTGGCCTGGAGCTGGCTCTGAGGGTTGGGTCATTGCATTCCTTAAGAACCCAATCCCCCGAGAGATATTATGAAGGGGTTTATCTGTAGGATATGACAACCTACTAGAAGCAAACTGGTTAATAACCTTTGAGGTTACAGACAGAGTTTGTACATGTTTGTTGTTGTTAGGTGCCATCATGTTGTCTCTGACTCATAGTAACTTTATGGACAACAGAACGAAACACTGCCTGGTCCTGTGCCATCCTCATGATCCTTGCTATACCTGAGCCCATCATTGCAGCCTCTGTGTCAATCCATCTTGTTGAGGGCCTTCCTCTTTTTCGTTGCCCCTCCACTTTACCTAGCATGATATCCTTCTCCAGGGAATGGTTCCTTCTGACAACATGACCAAAGTAGGTGAGATGAAGTCTGGCCATTCTCACTTCCAAGGAGCATTCTGGCTGCACTTCTTCCAGGATAGATTTGTTAGTTCTTTTAGCAGTCCCTGGTACTATCAGCATTCTTAGCCAACACCACAACTCAAAGGCAGCAACTCTTCTTCTGTCTTCCTTATTCATTTGTCCAGCTCTCACACGCATATGAGGCGATTGAAAATACCATGGCTTGGGTTAGATGCACCTTAGTCTTCAAGGAGACATCTTTGCTCTTCAGCACTTGAAAGAGATCTTTTGCAGCAGATTTGCCCAATGCAATACATTGTCTCATGTCATGACTGCTGCTTCCATTGGTGTTGATTGTAATATGAAGTAATATAAAGTCTTTGACAACTTCAATCTTTTCTCCATTTATCGTGATGCTGCTTATTGGTCCAGTTGTGAAGATTTTTTGTTTTCTTTATATTGAGGTGTCCATACTGTGGACTGTAGTCTTTAATCTTCATCAGTAAGTGCTTCAAGTCCTCATTTTCAGCAAGCAAAGTTGTGTTATCTGCATATCACAGGTTGTTAATGAGTCTTCTTCCAATCCTGATGCCATATTCTTCTTCATATAATCCCGCTTCTCAGATTATTTGCTGAGCATACAAATTGAATAAGTATGGTGAGAGATAACAATTCTGACACACTCCCTTTTTGATTTTAAACCATGTAGTATCCCCTTGTTCTGTTCAAACGACAGCCTCCTGGTCTATGTACAGGTTAGGTTCTTCATGAGTACAGTTAAGTGTCTGGAATTCCCATTATTCTTAATGTTATCTGTAATTTGTTATGATCCACACAATCAAATGCTTTTGCATAATCAATAAAACATTAAGTAAATATCTTTCTGGTATTCTTTGCTTTCAGCCAAGATCCCTGTAACATCAGCTATGATATCCCTCATTCCACATTCTCTTCTGAATCAACTTGCATTTCTGGAAGTTCTCTGTCAATATACTGCTGCAACCATTTTTGAATTATCTTTAGTAAGATTTTACTTGTGTGTGATATTATTCAATAATTTCCATATTCTGTGGGATCACCTGTCTTTGGAGTGGGTACAAATAGGGATCTCTTCCAATCAGTTGGCCAAGTAGCTGTCCAACTAATCTTTGTCCAACAAATCTCTTGGCATAATTGAGTGAGTGGCTCCAGCAGGGCATCCTTTTGTTGAAACATCTCAATGTTTACTGGAGCCTTGTTTTTTGCCAATTTCTTCAGTGCAGCCTTGACTTCTTCCTTCGTTACCATTGGTTCTTGATCATGTACCACCTCCTGAAATGGATGAACATCAACCAATTCTTTTTGGTACAGTGACTCTGTGTATTCCTTCCATCTTCTTTTGATGTTTCCTGCATCATTCAAAATTTTGCCCATATAATCTTTCAATATTGCAACTCGAGGCTTAAGTTTTTTCTTCAATTCTTTCAGCTTAAGAAATGTTGAGCATGTTCTTCCCTTTTGGTTTTATAATTCCAGGGCTTTGCATATTTCATTATAGTGATTAGCTTTGTCTGCTCGAGCTGCTCTTTGAAATCTTCTGTTCAGCTCTTTTATCTTGTCATTTCTTCCATTTGCTTTAGCTACTTTCCATTCAATGGCAAGTTTCAGAGTCTCTGCTGACATCCATTTTGGTCTTTTCTTCCTTTCCTGTCTTTTAAATGACTTCTTGCTTTCTTCATGGATGAAATTCTTGATGTCATCCTACAATTCCTCTGGTGT